TTCTCTGGACCCTCTCCAGGTTATCCACATCCCTCTTGAAGTGCGGCATCCAAAATTGCACACAGTACTCCAACTGCGGTCTGACCAGCGTAGAGGGGAAGTATCACCTCTTTGGATCTGTTCGTCATGCATCTGCTGATGCACGATAAAGTGCCATTAGCTTTCCTGATGACTTCGTCACACTGCCGACCCATGTTCATCTTGGAGTCCACTAGGACTCCAAGATCCCTTTCTGCTTCCGTGCCTCCAAGCAGGTCATTCCCTAGGCTGTAGGTGTGCTGGACATTTTTCCTCCCTAGGTGCAGCACTTTGCATTTCTCCTTGTTGAACTGCATTCTGTTGTTTTCCACCCACTTGTCCAACCTGTCCAGGTCTGCTTGTAGTTGTTCCCTGCCCTCCGGCGTGTCCACTTCCCCCCACAGTTTTGTGTCATGCTTTGGCCTTCCCAGTCTTTCCCTTGCACATCTGTGCAAAACTCTTATACTCTTCCCTAGTAATCTGATCAAGTTTCCACCTTTTGGTAGGATTCCTTTTTTGAGTTTCCATTTGTTTAGGAGATGGCCGTCTAGCCAAGCTAGTCTCTTGTTGCATGTTCTAATCAAGGTTCTCTCTAAGCTGCGCACGTATGCAGCCGTGCACAATTTAAAATCTTGCCGCGCACTAACTGTTTACTGTGCACTCACCCGGAGAGGAGCTGGGCACAGAGCATGGCGGAGGTACTGGGGCCGGCGCAGGACACTTACTGGAGGTAAGCTCCTCGCTCCTCATGTGGGGCAGGCAGCAGCTCCTCCCTGAGGTGAGGCTGGGGCTGGGGGCTGGTGCTGGGGAACTGCTCTGCTCCCCAGCCTCGATACCATGTGCCCCCTTGCTCCCCAAGGCGGGACGGGGACTGGGGTGGGGGCTGGGAGGTGGTACGGGCTCCTCCAGCTCTGGGGAACAGGTACAGGAGGTATCAGAGGCTGGGAACACTGAGCTTCCAAAATGCAAAGCTAGCAAAGAGCCTAGACAATTAATATAGTACTAGAACATGGTTATTGACCCCACTAGCAAGCCCTTTCCCACACCGTTCCTCCCAGCAGTGTACAGATAGCATTCATTGCTGTTTCCTTCCAGTTTGGATTGTTTCAATTTGCAAAAGGTCTTTATCTGTAATAGCAGCAAAATGAAATGACACCAGTCACAAGATGGAAACAATCCACAAATTACTGAGAATTGGGGTGCTGAATCTTTCTTCGATTTACCATTAACTCTAGTAATGAGTTGGACAAGTGTTCTAATTACACCCATGAATAAGCTGCTGTTTTCTGAATGGCTTTAGATCTGGAAGGAAATAACACTTTGCATCTATATCTCAATTCAGAGGGAGGGCTATTTTAAGGATAAATTAGCTTGGTTACGATAAATTAGCCTTTGGCCTGTTCGGTTGGGAACGTATCAAAGCAGTGCACTCATGGCTCGCTACACCTTAGAGGGAACATTGGTCCTAATCTTCCGTTGCAACGGGATAGTTTTTGCTCCCGCACCCTTCCCACAGCTCACTTGGATTCCTTTTCCCCTCATAGTTTCATAGTAGCTAGGGTCAGGAGGGACCTGAACAGATCATCTAGCCTGACCCCTGCCACAGGCAGGAATGAATGCTGGGTTCTCAAGACCCCAGACAGGTGATCGTCCAACCTCCTCTTGAATTTGCCCAAGGTAGGGGCGAGGACCACTTCCCTGGGAAGTTGGTTCCAGCTTTTGGCCACCCTAACTGTAAAATATTGCCTTCTGATCTCCAACCTAAACCTATTCTCCATCAGCTTATGACCATTGTTCCTTGTCAGCCCGGGTGGTGCTGGGGAGAAAAGGGCTCTACCTATTTGCTGTTGATCCCCCCTGATGAGCTTGTAGTTAGCCACCAGGTCCCCCCTCAGCCTCCTCTTGCTGAGGATGAACAGGTTCAAGTCCCTCAGTCTCTCCTCGTAGGGCCTGTCCTGCTGCCCTCTCACCAAGCGGGTGGCCCTCCTCTGAGCCCTCTCCAGGCTGGCCACATCCCTTTTGAAGTGCAGCACCCAGTACTAGACACAGTACTCCAACTGCGGCCTGACCAAAGTCGCATAGAGGGGGAGTATCACCTCTCTGGACCGGCTTGAGATGCACCTTTGGATGCATGACAAGGGATGTCATCCCTCAGACTTGCCTCCCAAGGGATCCTGCCCACCAACACCTAAATTTATTGAAGTCTATGTTTCTGAAATCCAGCCTCTTTCCTTTCGCTGGAAGTATAAATGCTACCATGTTGTGACCCTCCCCCCCACTGCCCTTCATGCATTGTCTGTGTCACCTCAAATATCTCCTGGCTCTTCTCTGTCCCCCATTAGTCCACATATTCCCATGCCCAGCCCCACCCCACGGTGTCCTAAACCCATCAGCTCCCATCATCCCCCTCATGCCCCACTGAATCCTACACTGCCCCCACGAATCCACTGCATTCTGCCTGGATTTATTCCCATCATGCCCCAGCTCCACCTTACACCCCACCAAGCCCTCCCCATCCCCTCAGAGTATTTAAACTCAGTGCAGCCCCCTGGTCCCCTCTCACCCACCCTCTGGGTCCCAAGCTGTCCCATGCCCTACTTCATCTCCACAGACTCTCCAGTCCATACAGCAGGTGCAGGCAAGGCTGTAACTGCTCCGCAGTGCAACACAGCATGCCCCTAGCTGGCCTCAACTGCCCTCCACACTCAAGATACAGAAACAAGCAGTGGAGGTCAGGGATGGACTTGCTTCAGCTGCTGGGAACAGTGTAAAGGGGTGGCCTGTCCCCTCAAGAGGGGGCAGCCAACCCTGCTGAGTAGCTCCAACTGTGAGGAGGCTGCTGGTTGGGGAGGGGCTCCTGGGGAGATTGAAAAGTCCAGAGAGAAGAGCAGCAGGGGAGCAAGCTTTGAAGGAAAGCTGCCAGGCAGAGACACAGGGTGGGCAAAACCACCATGGAAGGGCCAAACTGCTTTGCTAAGGCCAGAGCCACAGGGGTCCCCTCATGTCTGGGCCAGGCCCCGCCAGTTGCATTTGTTTAAAGACTGTTGCTTTTGTGTGGACTGGCTAAGAAATTCCTCAGGGAGTTAACCCCTGCCCCACCCCAAGAAGCCCAGAGGGGAAACCAGCCTGCTTACAAAGTGAATAACAATAGTTGAAGAGAGTTCCCTGTTTAGAAATTAAAAAGTAAAAGCTATATTAAAGTCTTTGCATAATCATTCTTTTAGAACACTGCATCTTGCTTGGAAGGCACCTCAGACCTATCTTGGTCACGTGTGGGTCGACATCCTTTTCTATACACTGCTGAAACAAATTACTTTTTTGCTCCTATATAAAGTTCTATTGTCATCCCACTGTCATTGACTCTTTCCACTTTCAAAAGTTGTCATTGCAAACCATCATTGAGAATAAGCCCATTTCTAGTTCTTGGCCTGAAGTTAATCTGATAACAATATAAGATGTATCCATATATGTGTCAACTCTTTCTTTTGAATTGTGTATCTAACACACACACACACGTGTGTGTGTGTGTGTGTGTGTGTGTGTATATATGTGTATATAATATATAATGTGTGTGTATCGCTCTTGCTCTCAAAGCTTTCTCTTTCTTCTCCCTAGTACAGGGTCTTCATAAAGTCCTTATGCACTTTTAAACTTTAATAACTTAGGTTGTAGGTATGATGGAAACAATCTGTGAACGGCATTTAAAAGCAAATTTATTAAAATTTTAGGACAACTAGAGTATACAATGCCAGACTTCATAAGTAATCATTAATTTATTCTTAAATAAGATGGAGCTCCATGCCACTACATTCTGAATGTATGACAGTTCCTAAATGACGTTTTCCCAGAGAAGTGGATAGGCAGAGGTGGACTAATTGCTTGGCCATCTCATTCACCTGACCGGTCACCAGTGGACTTCTTTTTATGGGACGTGTTAGAAGTGTAGTTTACTTGTCAAAACCATGTTCTTTGGTGGAACTTAGGGCTAGGATCACCAATGTAATTAGTGCAGTAACTCAAGAGCAACTGGGAAATGTTTTCAAGGAGTTGGACTATCAGATTGAACACTATATCATGATGGATGGTGGTTATGTTGAAGTCTAGCGTTGTGTACTCTAGTTGTCCTAAAACTTTAACAAATTTGCTTTTAAATGCTGTTTACAGATTGTTTCTATCATTCTGTCTGGGGTGGTTTTGCCTTGATGCTAAATGTCCATCTTTCCTGTCCCTTCAAGTCCACTTAGAATGTTTGATTCCATTGGATCCATTCACCAAATCCCAGGTGGACACTGTATAGAGAGTAACCAGACATAGCCGCCCTTTTTGCATTTCCCCCACACAGGATATCAAGGTCCCACACCAGACTTGATCAACTGCATCCAGGGAGGGGAAGTGGAGCTCTGGGTCTGTGATGTTGAAGACCCTGGAGAAAGCACATTGTCTGAGGGCCTGTTCCCAGGTGAGTCAAGTCAGTTCTCCCAACCCTACCTTCTTAGCACTTCTCAGTACCAGAGGGACTGGGAGCTGGACCCCTGGAAATGAGCCCTGAGCTTGACCTTCATGTACTGACCTCCAAGAGCTTACCCTGATCTGTCTCATCCAGGCAGCTGAGTATTCCCATTCCCTGCTATTCAATGGTGTGGGCACTGACAACTGTTGCCTTCTTCCTCCCCTAAGTAGGAGGCTGCTATCCAGATTCACCTGTTCAGCAATATCTCCTATTATTATCCTCCTTTTTGCAGACTGAGCCACAGGTACCTTGGTAGGAGTCACTGTCATAATGGAGGGAGGGGGGCCCAGCTCAACCCCCAGGGAAGTCATGCGGGTTTAGGGCCAATGTTTCACTTGATGCTTTGATATTAGGCACAGATTTAGTCTCCATGGAGCACCATGAGCCTGAATATCCATCTCTGGTCAGCAATGGAAAAGTTAATGTTCCAGTCAAGGGCATGCTGGGACCTGTCTAGTCCCATGGCAGTTCTTGTGGTGGACAGAAACTCAAGGGACTGGGCTATAGAGGCTGGGGCTCTGCTACCCACCACGTGGCTCCCTGGTACAGTTGGACATTCACAGACACTCATGCCCTGTGAGAGACTCCTCATGACTGGCACTAGAATCTCCCTCTTTCTGATGCATCTCTGGGGCCCTGAGTGGCAGCAGCCCTGCACCCTGAGACTTAAGAGTCCATGAGCAGGTTAACCCCCAAGACCTTTGTCCTGGTGCGGAGTCCTCTGACACAGAGGACACATTAGCAGAGCAGTGCTCTGTGGGCTCATTCTCTGAACCAGACCAGACCAGACCCTCCCCTACAAGCAGGTAAGAAGCAGAACTATGCTCCTTCCAGCTCAGAGCTGGAGAGCTCATACCAGATCTGGCTTATCAGCTGCAAATCCTCCCCTCCTAAAATAGTTCCCTGGGGGCTGACATTGTGGCTTCTCTTTGTAAGCCCATCTGCCCTTGGGGCTTGCCTGTACTAGAGCAATGGTCTGTCTCAGAGGGCAGTGCTCTGCATGCCCCATGCACCCATGTCCTCAGGTACCATTCTCGGCACTACCAGAGATCAAGTTCTCAAGAGTAAGCAGCGGGTTCTATCCCCAAGGTGCCTCTCAGGTGAAGATCTTGGTCTAGAGGATGGCAGCCATCTTCTCCATGTCCCACCATGTCTGTGGTGTAGACAAGCCTTTAGACTGCTTCATTCTTGCTTCAAGAAGTTGCTTCTGGTCTCCCCCTCAGCTCTGGAGAGCATGGAGCCATTCAGATCCCATGCCAGTACATATATCCCATATTTGTCTTCAGGGAGTCACTTGGGCCTTTGGATGATCAGGGTATAAAAGAGAGGTCTGAAGTGATATTGTTCTCCCCATTCAGATACAGCTTCAGTTTTGGACAGAACCACTGGGAAATTCGACCCAAAATTCACCAGGGAACTAGAGGACACCCTAGTTCCTCCATCCCAGCATTGGGACTATTTGAATTTAGACCCCTTATTTTCACTGGGTACCCAACTGCCAAGGCCCAACCCTGCTTTGGGACACAGGAGAATAGCACATCTTTCCCTTGGCCAGAAGCACTGAGGCTAATCTGAGTTTCCTTCTCTCCCAGCAGGTCCCAGAAGACAACCACAAGGCCGCTGTTCAACTCTGCTTGAAGAGCCTGCCACCTCAGAGCTGTTTCCAGCCAGAAACCAGTTTCCTGTGCTATGTGGACTGAGACCAATTGAGCTTCAGTGCAGGGAAGGATTCAAGGGGCAAAGAGACTTGAGGAGCCACGAGGGCAGTGGAGAGGTGTTATGTACATGCACGGGGTGTGGTGAGCGCTTCAGGGACCCAGAGGAGCTCAGGGTGTATGGGGCAACCCACAGGAAGGAGACAGCCCACCCCTGTGCCAATTGTGGGAAGAGCTTCCGATATAAATGCTGTCTCATCACCCACCAGAGAATGCACTCAGGTGAACGCCCCCACCTCTGCCAGGACTGTGGGAAGAGCTTTGTCTCCCTGTCCCAACTCCGCATCCATCAACGCATTCACACAGGGGAGAAGCCCTAGCACTGCAGCTACTGTGGGAAGAGCTTCAACCAAGCCTCCCCACTGCAAGTACACCAGCGCATCCACACTGGGGAGAAGCCCTACCGCTGCAGCCAGTGTGGGAAGTGCTTCCGCCAGAGCTCTGCTCTCATCCAGCACCAGCACATCCATGGTGAGGAGAAGCTATGCTGCCTGGAGTGTGGAAAGAGCTTCAACAGCCCATCCCACTTGCGAGTGCACCAGCATCTGCACACCAGGAAGAAGCCCCATCACTGTGTCCACTGTGGGAAGAGCTTCACCTGCCTGTCCAATCTCCAGTCCCACCAGCGTCTGCACACAGGGGAGAAGGTGTATGGTTGTGTTCAGTGCCCAAAGAGCTTCACCCGCTTGTCCAACCTCCAATCCCACCAGCGTGTGCACACTGAGGAGAAGCCCTATCGCTGCACTCAGTGTGAGAAGAGCTTCACCCACCCATCCAGTCTCCGTGTCCACCAGCATCTGCACACAGGGGACAAGCCATATGGCTGTGGCAAGTGCAAGAAGCACTTCAGGTCTAGCTCAGATCTCACCAAGCACCAGCGCACCCACAGATGAGATCCCTGTGACTCACACAGGACAGTTTCTGGCAGTTTTTTTCCTCACTTTCCTCCCCAGATCTTGTACTCTATTGTGGGTCATCAGCTGCAAATCCTCCCTCCCAGAATATTTCCTTGAGGGACAAGGGCTGCCATTTTGGCTTCTTTTTGTAAGCCCAGCAAACCTCAGACTGCTGCTGTGGTACAAGCAAGCCCCATCTCGGAGAGGGCAGTGCTCAGTATGCCCTATGTACCTGTAGTCCCAGGTGCCATTCTCAGGAAAGGGAAGCCTGACACCTAGCCTGAAATGCCACCACTTCCCCATTCACCAGGTGCTGGGTTTGTACTGGCCCTGGAGATGAGAAGCAAAGGAGTAACATAAGAATCATGAGATTTTTCCCCTCCTCTTGATAAAGGTCCAGATATTGCTTTCATGGTCATGAAAGCATGAATATTTCTGGAACCTAAGGACATCATAACTGCCATGAACCATACCAAGTCAGACCATAGGTCCATCTTGCCCAGCACAGCAGCAGTGTGGAAAGGGAGAGTGAATTGGGTCTGACCAGGGTTTTCTTCCCCCTGTTCCTTTCCCACTGAACCCTCCAGGCTCTAAGGTCTAGGAAGTTTTGATCCAGAGGTCGTGCCCCTTATTCCTGTGCTCAATAGCTATGGATGCCCCTTTCCTCCAAGAATGTGTCCAGTCCCTCGGTGAATCTTGCTAAACTGTCATCTTCTACCACATCTGGTGGCAACAAGTTCCATGCTGTAATTGATTCGGCATGGGGATTTCCCCAGTATCTTCTGTGGTAAACACTGGTGCTTTGCTTCTCTGCTGTGGCCTTATCATCCTGAGTGCACCTTTTACACTTCAATCACCTAATGGTCCCACTGACCCTCTAGCTGACTTCCTGCTTCTGAAGTATTTTTTTAAAAAGTTTTTATTATTATTAACTTTAGCATCTTTGAGATGCTCCTCAATTTTTCTTTTTTCGGCCTGCCATATTTTACACTTACACATGACCTGCCAGTTTGTGGGCTTTCCTGTTTTCCTCTTTTGGGCACACCTTCCATTTCTTTGAAGGATGACTTTTTGTCTTGAATGGCTTCCTTAACTCTCCTATTAAACCATGCAGGGGGTCTTATTGAATCCCTTGGTACCCTGATTTGTGGTATACACTATTCCTGAGCCTCTGATATGGTTTTTTTTTTTTTAACAGCTTCCAAGCTGCCTGCAGGCTTTTTACCTTTTTTACTACTCCTTTTTTCCTGATTTCCTCATTTTTATGTAATTTCCCTTCCTAAAGTTACATATTGGCATGGTGGACTTTTTTAAGTGGTTTTTTTTGGTTTACTGATGATCACACTTTACTTCTATTCCAGCTCTCTCATTCTAACCTCACTTTCTCACCTGCCACACCTTGATCCTAGTCTACAATTAATTAATTACACAATGGGTAAAAAAGAGTTTCCTTTTGTTCATTTTAAACTGAGTGCCTTGTTTCATGTGGTGACCCCTAGTTCTTGTTTGGTGAGAGAGTCAATAATAAATCCTCATTTACTTTCTCTTCACCATTTACTATTCTGAAAACCCTTATATCCTGCTCAAGCTCTTCTGAAATGAACAGACCTGACCTATTTAGTCTCACCTCATATGGAAGCCCCCCCCCTAAACCTCTAGTCAGCCTTGTTGCCCTTCTCTAGTTCTTCTATCTCGTTTTTGAGGTGTGGGGACCAGAACCAGGCCCAGTATTCAAAGTGTGGCTGCACCATGAATTTATAAGGGGATTTATATATACATACTACACCTGGTACAATGAACTAGGTAGTGCCCATTTTGAACTTCTACCTGCATTTTTTCTTTAAGTGATAAAAACTTAGCTTGGTCTTTTAGAGATGCTTTTATTAATTGGTTCCCTTTGATTAAACATGTAGATCTTGTGGATTCATCTGTTGTTCAACAGTACTCTGCCCTAATGGCAGCTACATATTAAACAAGAAACTCAAGTATTGAAATGTAAGCCAAGATATAAATGCTACATTATTTAAGTTATTTAAGTTTTTCCAGCTAGATATCTAGGTTAGTTACTCTTGATTAAAAGGAGAAACTTACTCTAAAGGCTTTCAAAAAGTGGGGTGGCAAACTAACCTGGGAACTGCTTTCAAGCTGCCCTGTTTGTACTCCCCTATTCCCTTGTCCCTCAGCTGCTTTCCTCAGCTGCTCTTTGGCTTGGGCTGGTTCCACCCCCCTATTAAGGCTTTTGACAGGCACAGACAGCAATCACTCAGCGAGCAGCACTCGCCAACTGCTCAGAGGCCCCAGCCCAAACAACCAGCTCACCAAACAGACCAAGATCACTTACTTTCCAGGAGCAGGATCCAGTGCCTGCTCCTCCTGCTCTTCTTCCTCTTGCCTCCAGCAAACTGCTTGCAAACTGTCCTGTTTATTGTTCCCTGTTTGCTCACATCCCTTGGATGATGTGGATGTCAAGTCCAATTGCATTGTAGTCACTATTGCAGAGTAGCTTAGTAACACTTAAACCTTTGCACCAATCCTGTCCACTACTTAGGACTGGGTCAAGAGTGGCCTTTGTTGTAGACTCCAAGCCTAGTACTCCAGAACTCAGTTTTTTATAACATTAAGCAATTTGGTCTTTGCATCCTGGCCTGAGGAAAGACAGACCCAGTCTATTTGTGGATAATTAACATCCGCTTTCACAGCCTCTCCCAACTCCCTTAGCATTTTTAGCTTGCTGCTGCCATCCTAGTCTAGAGATCAATAGGATATCCCAGGTGTACTTTTTTTTGTTCTATGGAAACCCAGAATTTCCATCCTTAGAGATTCTGTGGTACCTCTCTTATCCATTGAAAAATTGATAATTTTGATTTGATGCAGTCTTTAACGTAGATGTCACTCTTCCACCATTACAACCTATTCTGTTTTTCCTGTATAATTTGAATCCTAGTATTACAGTATCCCATTTATTTTCCCTATTTCACCATATTTATGAGATACCTACTATGTCAATATCATTATTTACTGCTAAGTATTCAAGTCCCCCCCATTTTGAAACTTAAGACTTCTGGCATTAAAGGTGCACATACTTTTTCTTGTTGCCTGGTTGGATACTTGTATGTGACCTTTTCTTCAGTAAATGTACTTGTTCATGCTGGTCTTTGTGTTTCATCTGTGTATTCCCTCCCTATTTCTTATCCCCACTGTTTATGGCTTCACTTATAGAAAGTGACAATCTGAACCGTGTGCTGTTCCATACTTGTTGGCTTTCCCCTAGGTATTAGTTTAAAAGCTGCTCTATCACCTCTTTAATGCTACACACCAGCTATTTGGTCCCATTTTGGCCCAAGTGGAGACCATCCCTCCTGTACAGTCTCCCCCTTTTTACAAAAGGTCCATCAGTTCCTAAGAAACCTAAACCCCTCCTCTCTAAACCATTGTCTCAGCCACGTATTGAGACTCAGGATCTCAGCCTGTCTCTCTGACCGTGCCAGACCAATGGGAAACATTGTAGAGAAAGCCACCATGGGCAGAGCTGGAGTGTATTTATGTACCTGTACACATACCTGACCCCTGCTCCAACTGATTTTAATTAGAATTCATTGGAGCAGACCCAGTTAATTGAGTCTGATCAATCAAGCAGATTGAGTAGACTCAATTAATGAGTCAGCTGGAACATTCTGATTAGAGTGTACCAGCAGCCTTGGCATCATGTGTATCCAGCATCCCTGCATTTCAAAATGCCAGCAGGGGTGCTTTAAAATTTGTTGAGCCACCTTAATTAAAAGCTCTTCCCCCCAGCATGTGTAAAGACTCCTTTTGTGTCCATGTGTCTAGATTCCAAAGCTTTCCCACAGCATCCAGTGAGGTTGGTAGAGTGGCTGCCAAGGGCTAGGGCAACCTAAGACTGAACCTACAGCTTCCCCTGCAGTCAGATTGTTTCCATCTGCCTCTGAACTAGCAGTTGTCTACCACAGGCAACCCCTGGGATCTTGTTCCTTGCTGGAATGCAGCAAAAATCTCTGCTTGGTGTTTGCTCTCGACTTCCTTCTCCATCTATGGTGCTGAGCTCTTCAGTGATTCTTTGGGAAGAGAAAGGAATATTATCTAGCTGCATACAAATGTGTGACTGTGCAGTAGGATGAATCAAGAAGTAATGGATGTCTCAAGATACCTATTTTCAGGACAGCTTTAGGCTTGTGTGCTCTTGCCTGTATCCCATCAGTTGGACCGACCACCTGATTGACAGTAAATAAAAGATTTTTGACTAAACTGTGTTGTGGAGTCCTGAATGCCCCTCACCCCTTTTTTTTGCTGTACTGGACTACATTCCTCCTCCCAGACCCTGTGATCTGCAGTACAGTCTGACTCATAACCATAAGCATGTCAGAGAAGTGGATTGTAAGGGATAGTTTCAAGGGACTTGAAATACACAGGCCAGGGATAATGCCCCATGCTAATAAGAAGACCCCAGGAAAGAATAATGGTCACAAGTCATGACTGAGTTTCCCTGGTCCATTGGCTGAGATCGTTCTCTCAGATAAATGGGTGGGAATACAGAGATTTGAACCTGAACTCTCTCACACCAAGGCAGAGGGATGGGAGCCTGGAACTTGCTTCAAACCATGGGGGCCTGAGACCTCATGACCAGGCAGTGAGGACATCTGTGTATTTTCTGCTATATATAGCTGCTCTGTGTCATGTTGTCTGATGGATAATATCTCAGTAAGCTGTCATCTAGTTTGGAGGAACTTGCTTTGGCTTCTCTTGATAAAATCCCCCCCCCCCCCAGTCATCTTAGGGCTAAGAACTGCAGCAATAGGCCTGGAGGCTGTAACATCCATCACAGCCTTTAAATGCCCTTCTCAGGCAGGAAGGCCACGCACCAGTCATTGCGTCACAAAGCCATGGAGCAACAAGAGGGGCAGGGATGGTGCAAGTTGATCTTGTTCCACATTGTGGTACCCAGTGGAGAAAAGGGAGCTGTCAGCCTGGTCTCAGTG